CTTTCTACAGACATTTTTAAAGAAACATTCCAGATGAGCACACTGTTACGGCATGGAACAAGAAGGTAAAAGGAAAAATTTAAGAAAGAGTAAAATTCATTAGGGCAATATCTAAACAACTCAATTAACAATTTTTTTCAGAAATCATTTTATTTTGCACTGTAAAATATAGATTGAATACAGGTTACTGTATTTTTTGGGGGGGGCTAAACAACTTTGCCCTTACACTTCCATCTGTTTAACTGCTTATTGTGACATCCAATATATTTTTTTCCCCTTAATGTTTTCAAGTTTCGGCTTTTCCAAAATTCAGAGCTGTGAAATCAATTAAGTTAGGAAGCCTGTAACTCTGAATTGCTACACATGGCAGAATATATGAAATATATACACTGGATCAGATGTTCAAAGCTGTTTAAGGGCAGGAGGTCAATTTAATAGAAACTGTTATGAGAAAGTGGAGAGATTTCATGAAGTCAGAAATTTGTGTATACATCCTTGCGTTAAACAGAACCTGCCTAGCAATTCCTTCAGGAAGTAACTTTATTTGGACTTTTCATTAGCTCAGCTGCTTCTCTTTATTAAGAAAGGTAAATTCAGAAATATCCCAAATACCTCATTAAAACAATGCACAATCATCTTTAGTTCACTCTTTTATAAACATTCATAAATATAATAAATAAATAAATGCTATGCATCATAGGAAGAAAATTCTTAAATCAGGAATACTCGATGCTACACAATGGCAAGAAGTCCTTCAAATGGTTGTTGCTCAATATTCCCATCCCTGAAGTAAACACATCTTAAAAATCAATCATGGGGTAAAAGGAAATATTCTAGGCCGCTAAGAGGACAGAAAATTCTATTTCTGACTCAGAAGATCATACATAACGGAGCGGGTCCAGATTTTGCAAGAAGTAAATCTGATAAAGTCACTCCAAATACAGCAGGTGTTTCTCAGATTTTCTCCATAAATGTCCTTTCTTTATATAATATATGAAACAAATGCCTGGTCTGTTAAGAATATGACAAACTTTGTTCAATAGCCTAGTCTCCATAAAGAAAATTGCAGTAATTATATATATGTGTGTATTAAGAATTTCTCTTAAATCAATCAAAAATAAGATTTACTTTTAATTTTGTATGGGGTTTGTTTGATATTGTATTTTTCCACATGAGTTACTGAAATATGTTTTTGATTCTGGTGGATACAAATATATTTAATAATTAAAAACTTTCCAGCTGCTTTCTTCAATCTGCTTAAACAATTTGTTGGGAGTGGATTTTTACAGGTTTCTTTGCCTCTTATGGAAGCACCTGATTGGTAGATTCCCTTTCCTCTGCTCATCATCTTTTATATACAACAAAGAGTTTTGAAAAAGTGTCCTCCAATCTTGTTTCCTTTAGAATTTTGGGTTTACTAGTTTCACACACTCACCCATCATGGTCAGTGGTTTGAAATTATGGAAGCTTTCAACCAAGACACCTGGAAAGCCACAGCTTGAAAAACCCTGGCAATAAACCCTGGCAGTTCACACTCCTTGTACCTTATTTCTGTTATGGAAACACACTGTAAGATTATCTGGAACAAGCTAGGAAAAAAAGTAACTTATTCTCATTCATATTAATTTGCAGCCTTAAATTTGTCTATGTGTTTCACTAGCCAAAGATCTGTCGTAAATGTGCAGATAACATTTTCTGGCTACACAGTTTACTCAGGAGGAGAGACGTACTGTTGTACTGATGCACAGAAAAGGCACCCATACATTCCTTTTATATCATAAAAATTAAAACCTCCATGAAGGTCAGCAAGCTTGCCTTTGTGGCTTGAATTATGGTGGGCAACAGTAGCGTAGGAATTTCCTAAGTGTTGGGCTCCTTAAACTCAGTTTCCCAACATTTCAGTCACTATCACGGGCCTCTTACACATTTTATCCACCAATAATACCAATTATTTAGAGAACTTGATGCAGGATGCAACTTAAGTTGGATTGGTATAAGAATTCTTTGCATATACAAATGATCAATTCTATCAATCGTTGAATTGTTCAGTACGTCATGAGAAAACAATGCACGTCAAGGGAAGAAGTGGTTTGCAGACATGTAGCTGTATGCATAAGGGCATTCAATGGATGTCCTAATGCAGAGGTGCCCAACCTTTTGGGCACCAGGAACTGGTTCCATGGAGAAAGGTTTTTCCGCGGACCAGAGGGTGCGTGGTTTTGTGTGCTGCCTGCATCTTATGGATGGGGCTTTGCTTGTTTGTGTGGACCGGGTGCTGGCATGCTGTGGCCAGGTACTGGTCCACAGCCCAGGGGTTGGGGACCCGTCCTAATGAATGTGGGAAGATTGAGTAGATACCTGTCATATCCGTAAGTGTTCAGTGCTCTATGCATCCATGGGGGAATAGGTTTTAAAAAGTCAATTTAGTGATCCCACCTATATGACCAAAGCCTCATCCATTTTGTACATGCATCATCATCACACACACACACATATACAGGGCTCTACAGCAAACAGTTAACAGTCATAACTGTAGACTTTCTGATACCCTCGACCCTTTCCCACCCACAGATGCCACTGCTTGTTGCCCATATATCATCCATGGATGTTCCTGCAATGCTGCACTTTGCAGTCAGAGGCACAAAGATGTTCCAGAGTGCTTGACATTCTGACATATTTGCAACTCTTTCAAGAGTCATGTCTTTTCCCTTGATTGTGTAGCTGCCCTCTGAACTCCTGTATGCTCTGAAGTAGCTATTGGACTTTAAATCCAAACTGCTGAACAGCTCAAGAGATACTGAACAACTAAGAAGGAACTCATGTTCACTGCATAATGGATATTTTCTACCACTTTTGCTTTTCTTAATTTTATATTATAGCTAAACTTGGACACTGTTCATTTCTTGGCCATAAGTCAAAAACATAGAACTACTGCAATCTGAAATCTGGAAAAGCTCCTTTTCTCTTCTCAAATATATTTATAATGTCACCAGATTAAATGTGTGATTTTTGAATGTGTTCTAACTAGAACAAAGACTGATATCAACTATCCACCTGCTCTGTGCTTAGCAGAGATAACAAGGGTAAATGTCTATGAAAGAAAATAGAAAGTTATTTTGTCCAGGGATTGTGTCTTTGAGAGGAAGCTTTTCCTAACCAAGCACATTATCTGAAGTTAATTCCCTTCAGATTCTTAATCTGAAGTTAATTCCTTTCAGAAGAAATACTTTCGCAGCAAAAATGTATTCTTACTTAATATTTCTCCAAATATTTCTATGTGTAGAAGAGACCAGAGGATATTTGGGGTGGGCAGTGTAGGCATAGAATAAATATATATTATGTATAAAATGTATTGGCCGCCTATCTTGCCTCAGGATAACTCTGGGTGGCTTACAATCATAAAAAAATAAAAATAAATGATTGACTGGAACCACAATTCCCAGAATTCCAAACAGAAGGGGTCAAAACAGGTCCCCTTAGGAATTCTGTGACCTTTAACCCCAACAACTTGGAAGCTTTCAGAACACTAATGTAAACAAGGAAGCAAGTAAACAGTTAGACAAGTATAATATGGCATGATAGGACATCTAAATTTATGAGTCTCTTATTTGCCCAAACAACCCCCAATCACAACTTCAAACCAGGGTATATTCTTGATCCATAAATAGTAGCACAGCTAACCATAATAAATCATGACCTCACATTTGTGCATCATGCAAAGTTACGCCTGCCTGGTTTCCTTATTCTGATGGTACAAAGAATGGTGGAAATAATCTCCATGCTCGTTCGTGTCCTAACATAAATACTCTTTTTGGCTTATTGTTAAATGTGAATTTGGCCATTATTTCATTAGATCATTTGGTCTATACTGGATTACTAATGCCATTTACTCATAAAGTACGTAATTTGTTTACATTGCAATGAGTAAAAAGCATTAATCAAAAAGTGCTTTAAAAAATATACTGGGTCCTTTTCATTCATTCAGGGACGGGTTATGGGGCAGCAGGACAGGGAAAGAATTCACTTCAAGAAGACTAGGAAAGTTGTGAATACAGCCTTCAATGAGTGAAAGAAATCTCAGGCAAATAGGTTTTAAAATTAGGAAAATTTGAAGGCCACTCCATATGGGCCAACGGCATGTGAGAAGTGCCAATTCTCCACCCCAAGAAAGGTCCATATCCAGACTTTGAAAGGAGCGTGTGGAGGTCAGATACAGGACCAAGAAACAAAAGCTCTTTTGAGCATTCAACTGCAAGGGTGAACAAATTGAAACATACCTGACAAACTGATGTAAGAAAAGAGAAATATACAGGACAGAAAATTGGTAAGGTTTTCCTACACAGGGCTGGTGTAAGGTACAATCCTTAAGAATGGCAGTTTAATGGCACAAAAGAAGATGGGCAAGATTCTACAGGACTTCAACCTCAATTCTTTCCAACCTGCACAAACATTAGGGGGGGGGACCTTGCTTTCAATTCTTGGCAAATTCCAATTCAACAGAGCCGGTTAAGAGGTAACGGGAAAAACTCTACAGAGAGTTGGGTCTAGCTTCCAGATTTCCCAACACAGCCCTCCACGGTTGGGAATTCTGGCTGCTTAAGCCAGCGTTTCTCAACCTTGACCATTTTAAGGCATGTGGACTTCAACTCCCAGAATTCCACAGCCAGCAAGGCTGGCTGTGGAATTCTGGGAGTTGAAGTCCACATGCCTTAAAATGGTCAAGGTTGAGAAACACTGGCTTAAGCTGAGAAGTATCCTAAAGCGAGCCAGCCGCTCCAGGCGAGCTCGCTGGAGGAATTGTACGAAGTGGGTCAAAGGCGGCTGCCCTCGAAGGGCGCGCTTTACGAATGCTTTCGCCAGCTGGACGCCCTGAGGGGTTTTTTTTTTTTTTGCCGTTGGCGGGATGGCTCCAAGGGAAATGAAGGACCCGGGTGGGGGGGGGGGAAAGGAAGCTCAAGAGCCCGCGCCTTTTGCAGCCCAGCCTCGCTCCGCGCTCTCACCTGCTGACGCTGGCTGTGGTTGCCCGGCGGCGCTTCGGGATCGCTGCTTCGCAGCACCGTGATGTGCAAGGTAAGCAGGAGGAGCCCCAGCAGCAGCAGCAGCTCGGCCGCTAGACGCACCATCCTCCTGCAGAGGACGGCTTTAGGGCTCCGCGGCGGCGGCGGCGGCGGCAATTGAGCAGCAGGAGGAAGAGGAGGAAGAACAGCAGGAGCAGCCGCCGCCGCCGCCGCCGGCCCAGCCGCTAAGGAGTCGAGAGCAGGAGTTCCTGCGCCAGGAGCGCCGCTCTCGGGATCGACTGGGCCAGCAGGAGAGGAAGCGTTGTTGCAGGCAGCGCCGCCGCCGCCGCCGCGCCGCCACCGCCACCACCACGGCGGAGCCACTTCGGGATGGGAGGAGGTCTCCGAGACGGCGGCGGCGGAGGAGGACTGAGGACGCTCGTCCGACGGCGACGGGTCGGGCTGCAGGGGTCGCTGCTGCTGCGCTTGCAGCCCGGCGCTCGCATGGGGTCTTGCCCGCCTGCAAAAGCGGCCGCACGCCGGGGAAGTGGGGGGGGGGCTGCCGCGGACTTCTCTCTCTCTCTCTCCCCCGCCTCCGAGCGCGCCCCGCGAGTCAAGAGACGTGGCCGGGCAGCCCTCGGGTTGTGTGTGTGTGTGGGGGGGGGAGCAGCAGAGGCTCTCTGGGCCGGCACTTAGGGAGAAATGGGGGCGCTGGGGTTTATAGATGCCCGGCCTGTCTGCAGAGGCACCGTGAAAGGGGCGGGCGGCGTCCGCCCCTGCTGGCGGCGAGCGGGAGAGCCCCGCTTGGAGGAGTCGGTCCCCTTCCCGCGAAGTCCGCGCCAGAAAGGCTTATTTCTGCTCTTCCCCGCCTCGCCTCCGGGATGAATTCGCCCCACTGTCTCTCAGGAGAGCCAGACCCGCCACCAGGGTCCTTTCAGAGAGCCCCCCCCCCCACTCCCTCAGCAGCCTTCGGAAGCCTTTGCGCTGCGCTGCTCTTGCTCGCCCTTTCCAGGTTGCGCTTTCAGTCGCGGGCCGCTTTTCTCCTCAGCCCATTAGCCCGGAGAGCGGCTGGCTGTCAGTGCAGGCTGGGCTCGTGTCAAGTTAGGAGCCTCGCGCAAAGTTTTTCCCGCCTTGCCTCCGCTCCGCTCGAGGGCGAGTCCCGAGCCTCCTTTGAATGCTCCCGGGCCTACTTTCGCCCCCTCGGGTCTCCCGGTCTTCCCTTCCCTGCTGCTCCTATAACGGCCGCGGCCGGTCCGAGGCTATTTCCCAGGCAGCGGCCGCGGCTCCTCTCAGCCTCCTAGTCCCCGGGGATGATCCGCCGCCGAGAGGGAAGTCCAGTCTGAAGGGACGATGGAAATCTTCGGGTGGGAGCCTGGGGGAAACTGGAGCCCAGCCTGTTCCCTGACCCGCTGGTGCTGGGGTGGCGAAGAGAGGGAGCAGTGCTGGTGCCCGCACCGAAGGGCGGGCTCCCCTTCTCCGTCCAGCCTGGCTTTCCCGTTGCGTGTGTCTCATGCTTTTATACGAGGCTCTTTCCCTTCTCTGCTGAGCTGTTGTCCCCCCCTCTCCCTCCCCTCCCTTTTAAACTTTTCTTTCTTCTGATCTCATCACGGCAGCTCTTTTCTCCCCTCCCTTCGCGTTTTATTCCATGTGGCTAACTTCTTCTTTGCCCCTCACTGCCAATCTGGAGAGTTAAAAGCCAGGACATCAGCAGGAACCGCGCTCCGAGCTTCCTTGCATTTTAATACAGACACTTGTGGCCCCGGGGTAGGCCTTCCTGGATGGAGCCAACACTTGCCATTAGACACACAACAGATTTTTTTCCTCCTTAAGGGAAGGAGATTCTTCCCACTCCAAAGGAAAAGACCATTCCTTCCCCAGGTTAATTCTTTAGTTGAGTTTTCCATCCATTTTTGCTCAGCGCTGTTGAAGACAGACTCTTGTTTTCTAAATAAATCCCATATTGTTTCCATCCGGTATACGGATGGTGTTATCAGCAGAAAGTCCGTTATGGATTTGTTTAAACTAGGAATCAGAGATACACCATGTAGGTAGGTTCCGTGAAAGAATCAGAGGTCCATAATCTGTCTGTAGATTTCTGATTACCACCTGAATGGCTGCGGTGAAAACAAGGATGAACTAGGTAGGCCTTTCATCTATCTAGCTCTTTATGTTTTCTGCTCATTCCACAGTGCAAGATTTTGGGGAATGGGCAGGTTACAAGTTATCTTTACCAAGTAAAATTGATTGATTCTCTAGAGCAGGAGTAGGCAACCTTGGCTCTTTTATGACTCGTGGACTTCAACTCCCAGAATTCCTGAGCCAGCATGGCTCAGCTTGGAAACCTCTCTCTTTTCCCCTTAGCATAGCTGGCTCAGGAATTCTGGGAGTTGAAGTCCACGAGTCATAAAAGAGCCAAGGTTGCCTACCCCTGCTCTAGAGCTTCTCCCACATTTTTAACTAAGACCCTCAGTCAGGAGTGGGCAACTATGGCTCCCTTTATGACCTGTGGACTTCAACTCCCAGAATTCCCTAGCCCGCCATGCTGGCTCAAGAATTCTGGGCGTTGAAATCCACAGATTGTAAAAGGGCCACAATTTCTGAACAACATTTATGGGGCCTGAAGTATGCATGTTGAGTACTGAGCCCTCCTAATATGCACATTTCCAAACAGCAATCTTAGGTGCAATAGGCAGGGATGAGTTGTGCTGATTGCCTGTTGTTTTCATTTATGTGAAAAGGAAGAATGAGTCCAATAATTTTTACAATATTCCCTGGTTTAATCTTCCTGCAGAGTGTCCCATACATTTTTCCCTGCTGTACAGCTGAGAAATGGGGGCAGCCCGCCTATCTGAAAACAAATACCATTTAAATCAGCAGATTTTAATTCTGAGCAAATACGAACAAGATTCCTAGCCCAGCAGTAAAACATAATGTGCCATGCTACTTAAAATCTATAAACCGTGCCGATTACAGCATATATGAATGCTTTTGAGAGCTTTGATATGGGTAATTTAAAAAATCTATTTCGTGGCTAATATGTAATGCAACACCACAGATGTATATTTGTGAACTAGCAATAGTGAACATTGTGGACAGTGAACTACGGTCAAGCAGAACTGGGTACATTTTATAACTGAATCAGATGAAATCTTTCCATTCTCCCTGGAATGTTACAAGATATTCCTGCTGCTTTTGTTTCTGGGAAAGCCACTTTTAAGGGCAGCAAGCAATAGGTTAAAATGTCAGGGAGAACTGGAAAAAAAATGGCATTGCAATTAAAAGTCATTTCCCATTAAGAGAGCAATGACCCAGACTTAAGAGTTGAAGTCCAATATATGCAAGTACTTATACTTCACATACACTCCAGAGGATTCCCAATTTGTCAGCAATGTTTCTTCTGCTAGTAGAAAGATCCCTATTGGATATAAGTCTTAAGGGGAGGCAATCTGCTCATTCCAGAAATGATGGACAAGAATTTCAGTAACGCACAATTCCTTAAAGAAAATCTGCTGGCTGAGACTCATGGGAGTTGTAATCCAAACCATATGTAAGGTACTGGCTGCTCTATGTGCTTTACAGATAAGAACGATTAGGTAATAAGTTGAGAGCTGTGATAATCCTTGACATAAAGCACCAACCAGTTTTGTGAAGGAGCCCAATAACTATGCAACCTCCTTTGAATTCAGCTGATCTCCTGGTGATGAAGTTTTCTTGGCAAAGGGTTTGGACCTGCCCTAGGAAGACAGAGGGTCCAGACCCGCCTTACCCTCAGAGTTCCCAGGATGACTTTGGACCAGTCACTCCCTCTCTTAGCCCAACATATCTTGCACCGCTGTTGAAAATAATGGAATGTGGGAGTGTTGGGATATACAGTACATCTATCAGGACAAACTAAAGACAGCATGGAAAATTTTCCATTGCCATCTTGGAGTTTTGCCTGATTACCCAGTCAGAGATGTAGCTCTAGATGTCCCTCATCATTTCCCACTAGTACCGATCAAACAGTATCTTTTATACCCTTGAAATGCTCATACCGAGGGCACATCCAGACATTTGATTTCATATGCTTTCTTCCTCTCCATAAGGCCACACACACACACACACACACACACACACACACAATCACTCACAACATCCATTTCTCCATCAGCCCTCTGGCTCCATTACCTACTCAATTGCTCTTTTCACTCTATTGCTTGCCTCATCTCTCCCCGGTTCTCACCTCTGTTCTCTCTTGCTTATCTGTCTCACACACTCACTGCTCTTTTCTGTCTTATTTTTCTTTTTTGCTGACTGCATCACTTTTTGATCTCTTGCTTTTTGTCAGGGATGCTGGGAGACCCTGATGGGTAAATTCTCCTACTTGACTCTGCAGGTTGTTTGATCAGGCAGTTGGAGCTACCTGGGTTAATGGAGAAGCCAGCATTTTGTATCCAGTTTCTGGGTGTTCCTGTTGCTAAGCTGAAGTGGCCATGGAGGGAATTCACCACCAGGGATTGGAGAGGAAGAGGTGTGCTCTGAAGCTAAAAGGAGCTAGGTAGAACCCCAATCCCTGTTCCATCATTTCCGTAACAAAACACGACAGTTTGTGTTTACAGCAATACTTGTATTGGGAAAATATGGGAAACACCACTTTAATCAGGTCAGTGAAATATGCTTAGGTGGCCTCGGCTATGGTCTATGGATGAGACCAAAAATGTGTAAGAGTGGCACATCCTTAAAAAAAAGTGAGGTCCCACTGAGGCCCAGTGAGGGGCGGGGAGGGGATGTGTAGATGATCCCCAAGAAGAAAATCTTGGTGAATCCTTTCTCTGGAACATTCAGGTTTGATCTACAATCTCTGGGTGGAAGTGAATGTGAAATTTTGGAGAAATGTTGGGTATGTTACGATTTATTTAAAGGCTACAAATTGATTGCTAGGGAGATGGAAATATCATAATATATACCAGATTAAGGGACAGTGTGGTCAAAAGAATTTCTTGCACATAAGATCTGCAGCTGGTTTCTGGGTAATGTAAATTTACTAGATCCTATGGATCAAAAAAAACATATTTAATCCATCTGAGTCAAGCTTGTATTTGGCATGCATTTCCGGATACACTGTTAACTTTTGTGTGTCAAGATGT